AAATTGGTGGTCCCCACTTATTCAAAACCCACCCCCCTCTCTCATCCTCATGTGGCCGGACCCCTTAATGGCCTCCTCTCTCTCTCTCCTAGTCACCTTAATAGCTCCACAAAATCAGGTCCAACTCCCTCCTCTCATTGCCGCCCCCTTCCTTATCTGAATTCAAATTGAATTCCACAATTAAACCCTTCCCTCCTTCCCAAAATCTGAGAAAATTTCAGTTTTTCCTGAAATTATCTCTTAGCATCTCCCACCTAGCCGACCTCCCCTATCCCTCACGCCGGGCAACCTTCTCCACTCCAAGCCGCCACCTTCCACCACCCCCCCCCCCTTCTTCTTCTCAGATGTTACCTCAACTCCCAACAAGAATGCATGGCCAAACCCAAATGGAACTTTGGGTTTGTGCATGACGATCGAGAAGAAGTTGACATCCTCCAATCACCGTTCTTTGATGTGGGCTTCGATTTCTTACATCGACCGTATCCAGTGCACATTAGTTGATGTGATCGACGAGCAAAGATCAAAGGGACGTTGGATCATCATCGGACGACCATCATCCTCCACCGCTCCGGCCACCTATCCAAGAACGACGATCTTAGGTTCCTTCTTCCTCGGAGTGACCTCGATTCTAATGTGGAGACTCTTCTTCCGCTAAAGCCTAGACTAGTTGAGCGTATGGGCTCCAAAGGTGAAAGTTCTTTTTATTAAATCGCGGATTCTTGTTTATCGTCGTAGTTTTACAATTGCTCTTTGCGTTTTCTTAAATTGTTTGGTTAACCGACTTCGCTCTTCTTTTCCTAAGCAAGTTAAAAACTAAGAACTCTATGGATCAATCGTTGTTATAAGCAATAAATTTATTTTGGGATTATTTTGTTAAATATGCTCTCTTTAATTTCCTTAAAGTAACTCCTGAACGGGTTTGTATCACATCACAAAGGGGATTGGCATATGGTCGGTGGCTAGGTTAGGGCTTGGTGGGAGTTGGCGGCTTGGGAAGGGAGGATGGATAGCCGATTGGGAAGGAGGGTGGATGGGGTTTAGCCGTGAGTTAGGGAGGTGTGATTTGGGGGACCTTGTGGCCGGTGATGGGGAGTTTGTGAGGGAGGGCCGGCGGTTTGAGCGGGGGAGGAAGAGAGGGGCGGCCGAACTAGGGGAGAGGAGAGATAGGGAAGAAAGATAGGGAGAAAAAAAAACCACAAACCCGGACTCTTCCAAGGTTGGTGGGTGATTCGTTGCCCTTCACCAAGGGACTTTACCCAAGTTCTCTCCTAGAACTCTCAAGCACTCTCTCCAAACACATGGATGCAGAATATTTTCATAATAATCATTCCTTAATCTCATAAGAGGGAAAATAAGGCTATAAATAGACCTCCATACAAGAACAAAACAAAAGATCAAAATACCCCTTGGGGTTACATGCATCTAATCCCTCAAATGAGGGTAAAAAAGGAAAAGAATATTAGATTAATAAAATTACAATATATCAATCTGAAATAAAAAGATGTGAGTGTAGCCGTAGATCTTCAATGTCTTCTCGCGCGACAATCTCCTATAGATGTCCTCATCAAGTACACATTTAGGCCTTGTTTGGAATAGTTTTCTTACAACTTTCTAAAGCAATTTTTAGCACAAAAGTTTTTTGATAGCAACAAAAAAGCAACGGTGAAAGTTGTCTCAAATGAAGTCTAAGTGTACAAGTATATATTCAACATACAATTAGTGCATAACTATTTACTCTCATTTTCTACCCATGGAGCAATATGAGTAGGTTGAAAGGGTTCAAGCACAGAAAATCATTGCTATTGTGGAGAGATGTTTGACATATTTAGTATACTTATCTCTTTATAGAGAGGCACAAGAAGTTTTTTTTCCCTATGTCTATGGCTTCCCTCATGTTTAAAATGTATGTATCAACAATTGCAATCAATATGATCTGATATTTTTTTTGTTCTTCTCATCCTTGCTTAACAAAGTCTTCCTACGTTGTAGTTAAGCAAGGATGAGAAAAACAAAAAAAAAGTATCTGATTAAGTTGGCTGCCGCTGTTAATTGTGTTTAATTTCTTTTGTGTCAAGGATTATCAGTTCGTGGTCATAATGAGTCATCCGGTTTAGATAAACAAGAGAATTATTTAGTGCTACTTCGTTTTCTTGCAAATCATAATAAAAAATTAAAAAAATTACAGTGGAAAATACAAGCTCAAATTTGAAGTTGGCGTCACCAAAGGTTTAAAATGAACTTTGTAGTGCTGCAGCTATTGAGACTTCATCTCTTATTATGAATGATATTGGCGATACATATTTCTCAATTTTAATGGATGACTGGATGAGTCGTGCGATATGTTCACTAAGGAATGATTAGGTGTTGTTGTGAGATAGATAAATTGACCAAGTTATTGAGAGATTTTCAGGTATTAAACATGTTTTCTCGACGAATGCAATTATATTTAAGACGTCTCTTTAATTTATACTTGCAAAGCATTCACTAAATACACATAAAATACGTGGTCAAGGAGATGAGGCATCTACTATGCGAGGAGAGTTCTATGGTTTGAAGACATTAATATTTAAAGATAATCTGTAGGCATTTTATGTTCATTATTTTGCTTGTCAACTCCAACTGTATTTAGTGACTGTAGCAAAAAATTATTGGCAGATAAAACATTTTTTTTAGCACTTCTAAATTTGTGAATATTATGGGCATTTCTTGTAAGATGAGTGATACTCTTAAAATCATTCAACATGATAAGATAGTTTTCTATCTTACCACTGGAGAGCTAAGCTGTGGGTTAGGTTTGAACTAAGATACCACTTTGCAACGAGCTAATGACACTTGTTTGGGTTCACATTTTCACTCTAATTAGTTTAGTTGAAATGTATGCTTCAATATTAGAATTTCTTGAAATTATTTAAACTTGGTATATGATCAACAATCAATTGAAGCCGGTCTTTTGATAATTGTTTTGGAATATTTTAGCTTTGTTTTAATTATGCACTTAATGATTGATATTTTAGGAATTTCAAATGAATTGTCGCGAGCCTTGCAAAGAAAATATCAAAATATTGTGAATATAATGATACTAGTGCAGGTTTCTAAGCAATGGTTGCAGATAATGAGAAATAATAGATGTGCTATTTTATTGGAAGAAGAATCATATAATTTTGCAATATTTTTGAAATTAAAGTTCCTAATATGAGCTCTATATTTAAGCATTGTTGACGATCAGTACGGAGAAGTGAAGAAATAACAAATTTACATATTTATCATGTTAATTTATTTTATTCAGTTATTGATATACAACTTTATGAACTGAATAACCAATTCTCTGAAGCCAAGGTTGACTTGCTTCTTTGTGTGGTGCGTCTAAATCCAAGTGCTTCATTTTCTACTTACAAGAAGAGGGAACTAATTAGTCTTGCAGAATTATATTGAAGTGATTTTTCTCCAATTGAAGTTGTGGCCCCTGAATACCAGCTATCTACAATTCTACATACATTATTGATATATGCACACGCGATGAGTTTTCATCTTTGAATAATATTACTGATCTTGCAAAATAAATCATTAAAGTTAAGAAAGATATTGTGTATCCCTTAGTTTACAAGCTTCTTATTAACTTGTTATTGACTTTGTCAGTTATTTTTGTTACAACATTTTCTGCAATGAATATTGTACCGTTTGCGTAGTAAAATAAATGATTGTTATTTCATTGATTTCCTAATGAAATTATAATGCAACAGTATCAGAAAATACAAAATGTAATTTCAAAGCTTGTCATTATTTTTAAAATTTAACAATTATAATGAAATACAAGATTTTGTTTTGAATTTTATCTTATATATTTTTATTTTATTTTTATGTTTAATTGTTCTTGTAATATGTTTGCCTGCCCTAAAAAATATATCTTGTTCTGCCCTTGATTAACATTTTTTTTTTTGGTTGCAACTATCAATCTGTATGGCCTAAAATCACAACACCACACCAATCATAATGTTATTATTAACTGAAAAGCTCACTGAAAAAAGTCTATACTAAAGATCATTAATGACAAATGAGAAAATCAGATTCTTCTCGTATAAAGTATGATTTCAACTTGTATTTTATAATAGTAATATTAACACAACCTAAACACTTAACTACAATACTTCATTCCGCTGACCTGGTTTTCAATTGTAATATTGTTAAATCTCACCTAAATAAAGAAATATTAAATTGAATAAATATTAATAAATACGGCAGTAAGCAAATATTAAAAACAAATATGGTCAAACACCACATTAATGCCGATATTTATAGATTTATTATTTAAAAAAAAAACAAATACAACAACAACAACATCAAGCCTTTATCCCACTACGTGGGGTCGGCTACATGAATTCTTTTTCTCCATTGTGTCCTATTAAAAAAAAACCAAATGAGAGGAAAAAATTCCATATAATAAAATTCATATAAGTATACAAACAAAGATTACTGGTCATTGTATTTTCTATTGCATCATTCTAGTTGATGTGCAAAAATATATCAGATGTGTTATACATTCAATTACTATTTAGTGATGAATTTTCAATCCTTCTTTATCATTTTGAAAACTTGCAGATCACAACACTTGCAATGTAGTAAAGATCCTGGAATGCCCACCTTTTATCAGCTATTATTGTTACTTCTGGCATTTCTAGCTTTTGTACATGTTCAGATTCAGCGACTGCTTTTATTAATCTTTAGTTTTAATAAATTTAAGTATAGATTACTTTTCTAGTCTCAATGTTGCTATTGATCTTGGCTACTCCCACTTATCCTCTGTTAGTTGTGAAAGGCCTGCTTTTTGTTGTGGGCAAATTGATGTGCTTATGATTACATTATATAATATTAGTTGATAGGTGTCATCACTCCATCAGGTTTGGTGAATGTAATTTGGGATTTATTGAATACAAAATTCAACCTTCTTGTCCTTTAAGATATTCTTTTTGTTCATAAGTTTTGACATAAAGCGGAATTTCCAGTGCCAGAGCCCCAGCTAAATACCTATGTGTTTTGCAAGAGCAAGAGCGATGTCGGAGCTTTCCAGTTGGATGACATGTAAGTATATTTGATCTCATTCCTCCAAGAATTTTTTGCTGGCCTCTTTTATCACAATGCAATGTTAGTAACTGCATGATTTTGCTCACATTGAAGGGGAGAAGAGATTGTCGACCTGGTTGCAGATGATTTATATGTTCTAAGATACAATTCTATAAAAGGTCTGGTAGATGGTGGACGCATTGACCTTGTATGACACAAGAGCCCTGGTAACTTTATGACCTGTGAAAGTTTCAACCACTAGAGTTTTACTCATTTATTAGTTTCGCTTTTTTTATTGTTTTTATAATAGGATGGAAATAACTCTTGTTAATTAAGTTTAATATGTTTATTGCGATATAGTGGAGAGCATTATAAAAATCTCAATCGGAAACGAGATTCAGTTACTAGGCTTTTAGCCAATCTAATCTTCAGCTGTGCTGGTTAGGCCTAGGATCATATGGGGGTTGATTGATTTGCTCAAGAGCTAAGCTCTTATCTTGGTTAAACAATGCCTAGCTTTCTTATTTCAACTGCGTTGATTTGGTACAAATTCTTCTATTTTAGTTTATTGGGATTTTTAGACATCATAAAATCTTAATCTAATTATATATATATATATATATATATTTCTAATCTCTTTATCACATAAAAAGTATGATTAACATTAACTTATTTAAAGTAAATACACCTTCTCATTTATTTTTTTGATGTAATTTAAACAATTAGAATGTTATATAAAAAATATATATATATATCTTTCTAATCTCTATATCACATAAAAATTATTATTATCATTAACTTATTTAAAGTAAATACACCTTTTCATTTATATGTTTTGATGTAATTTAAACAATTAGAATGTTATATAAAAAATATAAAGATTTAAATATTAGATATATAAATATATAAGAATCCTGTGGCATTTATGTCCCTCTTTAATTTTTTACCCGTGATTTTAATTCTCATAGGCTCACATCCGCAATACTTTGTGCAGATACATATGTTGGACGCTTTTTTTTTTAAGATTAAGGTCCATCTTGAATACAGATTAAATCTCACACATTTAACAGGGCACATAGCTTTGACATCTATCCTAAAATTTAGGATACACTCAGAGTGTGCTGGTCTGTGGATATTGTAGATGCATGCATTAATTGATTCAATATTTCTGAGCTATGTTGACTAGATCTGGGCTTGACTCTGATATTAAAATTGATGTAGGCTTTGCTCATTAATTTATGTACCGCAAGGTGCTGTCAGTACTCAGTAGGACCCTATACAAGAATTTTTTATTGTGGCCAACACTGACCACTTTGAATGATATCAGATGAATTATTTATTTCAAAGCTAGACATTCTTAAGCTGAAACCTTTTGATTAACAATGCGTAAGAAAATTATGAGTGATTTTTGTTTTCTAGGGTGAAATTTGACTTAAATATTTTATTGATTGAAACTTGAATATAAAATTAGGTTTCACTATATTCTCTTTAGAAGTTCTATGATGTGATACTATAATATGCAATTTCTGAATTTTCGTAGCTATACCATGCAATTTATTATGTGTATATTATCATACTTTAATTGATAGCCTTGGCTTTTTATTGCTAAGACATGGGAATTATTCTCTCATCCCTAGTGTTGAACAAGAGGCTTTATTCTTAATTATTGTGTAGAGGCAATCGCAATCGGGGATAGGGGGTAAACAAGTCGAGTATCTATTAAATCGAGCTAAGCCTGTTTAGTTCTTAGTCTCACTGATCTCGAGATCGTTTACTAAGATCGAGCTCGACTCATTAAAAAATTTATAGTCTCGAGCTCAGCTCAATTGCTCGAGCTTGTTTGGAAAGCTCGAACTCGACTCAATTGTTAAGCTCAATTTCTTATTTTTAAATTAAAATTTTCAATTTTTTACAATCTTTATTTTTAATATATAATTAATTTAAAATTTTTAATATATATTTGATAATATTAATTTAAATGAATTTTTAAATATATTTTAAATTAATCAAGCATCTCAATGAGCTTTGGAGATGAGTTAGGTTGAGCTCAAGCCCGAGCTCATTTAATATACTAGTTCGAGTAGGATTGAGCTCTAACTCGTGGCTCAATAAACTCGACTTGTGAACTCATTAACAAGTCGATCTCGAGCCGGCTCGTAAGTCAGCTCGGCTCACTCGCACCCCTAATCGGGGAAATGAAAATTTCGACCAACATGTTTCAATTTGCAGCATGTTTCAAGAAAGAAAAAATGATAACAAAATGTCTTTCATTAGTTTTGATCATGATAGATTTTAAAATTATTGAGTTTTCTTTGAGATTAGTATTATACAAATAGATTTTGTATTGTATTCATTTTAAAATAAGTTTTATGATATTGAATCTCATTTTGATAAAAAAATTACATCAATATATTTTGAGCATATATATATATATATATAGTAAGGAACTAAAGGGATGGATTATGTGAGGTATTGGTTTTTATTCCCTTTGTTATAGTATTTTTCTTTTTGATAGCCAAAGATAATATCTTATAATCTAAGTTGGTTTCACACTATCAATCCCTTAATATAAGAACAAAAATTTTAAAATATGCAAAATTGAGCAGCTTAATTATATGAATTTGTTAGATCAAAAGTCTATTTTTGTTCGGTATTAACCTTTTGTTTGAATAGATAACTCTACTTATTCTTATGTTTTTTTTTTTTTGGTCATATCTTTGATAAAAGCGAAATAGAAAGAGCAGAAATGAAGGGAATGGAATGGAAGAAAGAGTGATTGGTTGAGGGATGGAGAAAGATATATAGATTATTAGTCAAAGAGAAGGAGAAATTAATTCATAAAAGAGATTACCAGAAACAGAAGAGAGAATGAGAGATAAAGTGGTAGGAGAGAGAGAGGAATTAGAAGAGAGAAATATGAGAGGTCAATAGTGTCTATCAGTTATCTTGCCCCTTCCTTTATCTTCTCTTTCAGAGGATCCTATGGTTCCTCAAAGATACTTTCATACATTATGTTCGATATCAAGGAAAATCTATCTTGTATCTCTCCTTGTAAAACCTATCCCTTGACATTCCCATAATTCCTCCATCAGTTCTGTAAATATCATACGATGTATGATTATGAGTTTGGCATAATGATACTGCATCTAAATAGTGTATCAACATCTTACACTAACCACAAGTGAGCTTAAGAAGATAGTAGTATGTTTAATTGCCTTTCTTTTTTCCCTTTCATCTCCTAACATATTTTCCTCTCTATTGTTTCTATGACCACTTTCATTTCAAGATTTGTTTTGATAATCATGATAAATGTGCCTTTAGCTTATTCATTATTATGTCTATTGGGATAATTAATGCTGGCTGAATGGTGCTTGTGCTATTTTTAATATGCATCTTGATAGATCTGACTAATTGACACCCCCAGCATATATTTTTAATCGGTTGGACCGGTCTAACAATACTCCCCTCCCAAAAATCCACATTGTCCTCAAGGTGGAAGGATGGGATGTTGTTGATAGCTTTATTTAGCTACTCTATTAGTGGTCATGTCATCGTCCACTGGAACCAAGTTAAAGCTTTCCCTTCCAAACATAGGGCCGCTGTCGTCAGTCTCTTCTTATTTGTCACCCCATTCAACATGAGATACATCTCCACCCGGTACACCCACCTATAAGCATCCTCCCTTCTAAATAATAGCTTCTTCCTCATCTAGTGTGGTGGTTGTCATGATCCATCCATATTTTCCCGATGTATCGAGAGTGAGAATCCCACCTTCCTCCGGTCACCCACTTCCTTTGCCCAAAAGACCTCCCATGATGGCCAGCGGCCCTACCGCCTACACCAAAAGATTTCCTTTTGGTTGTCCCCTCATTAGAAACCCTGATCCACCTTTTATCGGAGCCCCAGGAGGTGGCTCTTGATGAAAGAAACTCCCCTCGTCAAACTCCTCTTGTCTGATCTCCTTTCCCTTCGATTCAGCCAATGGAATTCCAGCCAAATATGGGTTAGGGTTAGCCCTCGGAACCACCCGTGAAGCTTTTGTTTGCATCTCCAAGAGCCTTTTTAACATGTTATGCATGATCTCCGCTTCTGGATTTTCCCTTCCCCTAAACATGTTAGGATTTCCACCTCTTCCATGGCCACCGATAGCTTCTTTATTTCGAACGTCGCCGGTTTGGTTGTCTTCAAGCAATTTCTTCAACATATCTTCCACTATGTCGGACTTTACCTCCATCCTTCCATTGACGGACGCGATTTGATTTTGAAAATCAACAATCTTCTCCTCAAAATCTGCTTTGAGTTGGCCAAGTTCTCCCTCCAAAACTTCCGCTTACCTTTCGGCCATTGGTTCCCTTTAAATCGACGTGCTCCGATACCAATTTGATAGTAAACACTTGAAAATCTGAAGTAATTCCTATCAATCTTTAGAAAACTTTGAAAATTCTCCACAAAAATCTGCACAAAACCACGAAAACAATATATAATTTGTATTATTTGATGAAAGGGAAACGGAAAATAGCATGATACAATTGATCCTCTATTCGAGAGAATGATCGATCTCTCCCAAATCTCTAGATGCCGCTAGAGCCCAAAAGAAAACCTAAATCTAAGAGATCTCAAATTTTAGCCCAATTCAAGATGCCCTAACCCTAGGGAAACAAACTATTTAATGCATACAAATCAAAAGAAAACCCCTAAACAGTCCCTACATTCAAATTTCCCTCTCAAATCCCTCAAAATTCCTTCCAAATATGCTCTTTGGACTCGGGTGGCTCGTGTGCTGCGTATAGGAGAGGTGGACTTCTTCGCCTATTTCGCACGGGCCGGTCCTGCGTGGACCGGCTGGAACGGTCTAACACAATGCTCCAAGGATTGCTTCAAAATTATCAACAATGCAGTAAAGGGTGTTGAGTTAAATTGAATATTGTATTTAAAGAAGCCAAATAGGGAAAGTATCAATAAACATTCATCGAGTTATTAATTAAAGAATAGGTTCTAGATGAATGAGAGATAGCTGATGCTGTTTAAAGAGGACAAATGATCTCTGTTGAATAAACGTGAAAGAAGCCCCTGAAAATTCCTGAATGATATTGAGGCTTTATAAAGGTACAAAGCCAACAATAAAGACCTGCATGCTGAAATTCAATTTGTTGAAGAGAGATTAAAGCAGTATAAAGATAGAAAATAAACTCATAGAATTATAAGTTAAGAAAAACCAATTATTATAAGAAAAATATTGAAATCCTTTGTAATGCAATCAAAAATTTGGGAGAGGGCCCCAAATTTTTTATCACAAAAAGAAAAGATACTTCCTATATAAATGAAGACACAAAATACCCAAAAAGAAGAGATAACTTAGAAATTTTAGAACAAACTCCTCTTACATTTCATATAAACGAACACTTTTATAAATAAAGACTTACAACTCTTAAAATTAAACGACTTACAAACAAAGACTCTAACAAGACACCCTAAAATTGCTTCACTTAGAGACGAAGGATACAGATGGGGTGGTCACTTGCGG